TCCTATACCATTAATTTTAAACTATATATTTAATCAGTTTTAGATAAATCTCTATCTTTTTTTATTGTCAATCTTCATCTTTAGTCGGATGAGTCCGCTGGTCGATCCGATCGAATGATTCTATGTCCACTTTGTCGTCGTCAAGTGCAACATCTACTTCCTCTTATTCCAAAGTCAATGCAGGTCAGCTCATTACTTGCCGATCTTGCTACCTCAACACCGGAGCAATGCATGAAGCTCCTGGAAGATACACTGGTAAACTCTTGATTAGCATTGATATCTTCATTCATTCACCCTCTTATCTCTGTCTCCAAATATGACCCATATATATGCATTCCTTATAACTGGCTTTTATGAGTAAATTGTGTTAAGCCATTTCAGAATTTTATTCCCCTCTGAAGACACGGATTGAATTACGGCCTTAATACTAGGATGAATTGGATGCCAATGCATTCTTGGACTAAACGACTTCGATGTGCGCTTTCATTTTCTTATTACTTATGTTGGCTTACTTTAATATTTTAATGATCCCAGTTGTTTAACCCTGCCTTAATAACTCAAACCAAGTATCTCTCAAGATTAGTGTGATAGTGTCAAAAACTATTCTTTTCACGAACAGGTCTTTTTCATAGTCCCGATTATACGACTTTTTACTTATCTCTTCAACAAGCTTTATTGTATTAATATCTCTTAAACGACTGGTTCAAGCTGACTATAGAAATATAGAATACACTCCTAGGTTTTATATGAACATCACTAATACATTTGTTAAAGCTCAGCCTATTCCCTAGTAAAATACCTACCTTACTTTGTATATAGTTGGCATTACCATCCCAAGGTCATCGCTTAAGTGAAAGTGAGATATCTCGCAGGCCTGGACGCGCAAGCCAATTTGAGACGGCATCTGGCAGAAATCTTGCGACTGTTCTTCTTCGGTTAGTCATACTTACAGTTTTATTCGTTTTTCCTTTAATGCAATTTGATTTATTCTATCATGCATACTAATATATGCATCAATCTGCACATTTGAAACGTAATTCTTTCCTACACTGATATTTTACAAAATTTTGCGTTTAGTGATTGAATTTAAATATTTCATTGTAGACATGTAAATATAGTAATTCTTCTCGGCAAATTATGGTATTTTCCGCATAATAACGAGGTCGAAAAATCGAACATTCAGCTAGATTTGTGGAAAAACTGGTTTTCGAAGAAACCCTTACTAAATTAATGTTTGAGTACCTTTCATATAGTTTGAAGAGGCGAGCAGAAGGGATTCGTAAGTTGGTCTCACCGGAACTTTGGAGCTGCGAATGTAGACTTATGCGAATAGTTTCTTGGCGCACTGCCCTGCGACCTCGATCAATCCTTGTTGAGCTTTCATCCGTCATGTAACGGACCTCTTCAGAGCAGGACACCATGCTTTGCGATACTTCAACAAGAGCAGAGACAAGAATGGTGGCCGGCTGCAATCCTAACTAGCTAGACTATAAAAAGTAGGCAGGATTGTATTCGGCCACCTTTTTTGTATTTGGGCTTGGTGAATTATCGTAAAGCATGGTGTCCTGTTCTGGCAATGTCCGTCACATGACGGACGAAAGCTCAGCAAGGATTGATCGGGGTCGCAGGGCGGTGTGCCGAGGACTTATTCGCACAAATCTATAGTCTCGGCTCTAAGACAATCCCACTACAACTTACTGTGAGGCCAACTTACGAGTCCCCGAAATGACTGATACTCCAAGATGAAGCCAGCTTACTTTCATCCTACTAACTGTTCATTATGGTACTAAAGATTAAGACTAAATCTACTTGATCATACTTGAACTGATTTTTAATTTATAATTTATTTGTATTATTTTTTTTCCTCAATGCACCTTTTTGACTCGTGGCTCATTTTAGGCTATAATTTTCAAAGATAAGTTCGTCGTTTTGATGCATGAAGTACAAGTCTGACTTAAGAATTTAGAACCTTGGTATGACTTGCTAAAAAATATGCAAGACTCTTGATATTAGTTAAATTTGATATAGATACTCTTCAGGGTTTATCGTTGTCTTATTTACAGTCTAACTTTTATTTAGTGAACAAAAAGTTAGGACAAATAAGAGGGGGAATAGTGATGACAAAATTTTAAACAGAAAATTGGTGAAGTGGATTGCCTTCACTTTTCACTGATAATTTGTAACTCTGTGCTAAGGATGCCGTTGCCGATGCCGGCGAAGCGTCTCGTAATGTGTCAAATCATCAGTCCGATGTTGGAAATCATCGTGAACACTATGTCGGAGGGCGTAGGACTAGTTACGTTCCACAAGCTCTCTGTAGCTTCGAACAAGTTGCGAAAATAAGGTCAAACCAATAATAAATATTTGTTTTACTCTACTAAATTGTTTAATCCAACCAATCAAATTTTATTGATATAATGAAATAAACTAGAGTTTTTTGGAATCTGAATCTGAAAAATATAAATCCCTCAAAGTGTCTTCACTTTTACACACTCTATTTTCATTATTTGAAGAGGGATGCGAACCACACTATTAATTCTTCATGTCTGATGA